GGGGGGTGTCAGTGTGTGTGTGTGGGTCTGTGTGCATATGTACACATGGGGTGTGTGTGTGAGAGAGCCTGGGTCTCCCCGAGCCGCTCCTGCCAGCCGCGCTGCACGGCCTGGCGGTGGCGTTGTGCGTGGGATGAAAAGCTGGCGCTGGAGGGAGACCCACCAAATTCAGGACCCTGGTGAGGGGCGACCCAGCGATCTCCCGGGGTGCAGCAGCCAGCCATTGCCTCGCCCTGGGCTGGCCTCTATAACCCAACCCTGTGCGCCCTACAAACTGCAAACACCTCCTGGGGGCAGGGCCCACAACCCCCTGGCTGCAGGCTGAGCGGTGGCTCTCTCGGGCACAGGCAGGGGGGCTGTATTGCACCCCGTGGAGCGCGGGGCGGTGGGGCTGCCCCATGCAGCCAGCTAACAGCGCTGCTGCGCGCGGCCCAAGCGGCTTATGTGCGGGTGACGCTGAGGGCTGAGTTATAAATAGGGGGTTTGTGTTTCTGAATCGCTAAGCAGATGGAAACAACAGCAATCAGGTTAATGAGCCCAATTAGCGCCGATTGTTTGGGAGGATTTGCGGGGCGGTGGGCGCCTGCAGATCAGCTGCTCGCCCAGTGGAAAGGAGGGGTGAGCGGGGCGTGGCCGGGGCTGTGACCCAGGGAATTAGGGCTCCGTGACCTGAGCGGTCAGCCGTGCTCTGCTCGCCCGGGTGCACGCCCTGGCAGCAGGGGCTGGCGACGCTGGCTCCTGGTGGGTGCCTTGCAGGGATGCTGGGGGGCTCCCCAGTGCCCCTCCGGCCTGAGCAGCTACACAACGCCAGCGAGACCCGGGGGAGACGGGGCCGTGCATCCATATGAGCAGGGGATGGGCCAAAAAGCCACATCCTTGTTCTCTATTAATCCTGACTGCAGCCCCTGCTAGCCCAGCCCTGGGCTCTGCCTCCCCCAGCTCTGCCAGTGCCCCTCAGTCCTGACCCCCAGCCTTGCCCCATGCCCTGCGGCCTCCTCCTTCCCTGCAGGTGTCAACGTCTCGGCCAACCAGGACGAGGAGATGACCCACGAGACCTTCCAGATGCAAATTGACAGAGAGACCAAGAAGTGCGTCTTCCATTCCAACGCGGG